GCTATTCTCCAAACAGGACCTGCGCCCACCTCATAGTGGGGTGCCTCTCCTTGGGCTCTTGCAGCAGCTGTAGTGTAGGAATTGAGAATCTTTCAAGTGCTGTGAGGGAGCTGAGACACTGAGTGTGGCAGGGCCCTGTGCCCAGGGCACGCACACACCCATCCTAACGTCTGCTGGGGAAGGTAGGGGATGCATGTGCTTTGCTTTTCAACCAGGAAGATAATTTTTGTCCCCGAGGGGACACTCAGCAATGTCTGGAGACAGTTCTGGTTGTCACACCTGGGTTAAGGGGTGCTACTGTCATCTAATGGATGGAGAACAGCGATGCTGCTGAACATCCCACAGTGCACAGGACGGCCCCACAACATCAAGACCATCTGGCCTCAACTGTCAGTAAGGCCAACAGCCAGAAACTCTGCAAGTTTGTGGGAAGCTGTAGATGCCCAAATCCCCTTTCATTTTCTCCTCGCCATGTAGGACAGTTTAGCTGGACAGTACACAGGACTCTTTCATGGGGTCATGAGAGGAGACCTCATAGTATAAGGGTCAAGTACAAAGACTTTGCAGTCAGGCTGACCTGGGTTTCAGTCCCCACCCATCCTAGTGGTGTGACCGAGAGCAACTTTTGAGTTCTCAGTGTCCTGGTTTCCTCATCTGCAGAGTAGGCATAGTAACATCTGTCTCAATTGACTTTGGAGTTTGACAGGCAATACATGCAAAGTCCTCCATTTCCATGTCACTCAGAGTGAGTGTGCAAAAGATACTATTGTTGGCATCCATCATCATAACAAGAAGAGTTACTGTGAACATGGATGAGCTCAGCACCTTGTGGCACTGGGCTGTGGTGAGGGACTCAAGACAGCTTGATGACTGAGTTTGGGCCTCAGTGAGATGGCAAAGCTGTGCTTCTCTTGCTCCTTGGACCTTGGTGACCTGTGAGGACCCCTGGGGGCTGCCTTCTCCACTGCTGCAGTTCACATAGCTAACGCCAAAGACCACTGTGATAGTGGACTCTGGGGTCCCCCTAGTGTCAAGGAAGGGACCTTGAGCTTTGGAATGCCCTGGGCAGTCTTGCCATCTGTAGGTGTGTTAACCTCATCATGCATTGTTTTTAGCACAACAAAATGGGATCGTACTGACTTTATTATTGACGTAGTATTATGCCATTGTCAGGTATGTGACGCTGCTGCTATTTTGCTGATTCCTCCAGATTTCCGTGAGGGTGGAAGGAAACCATATCAGATGCCTCGCAGAACACCAGGCCCACGGTGAAAGGTACAGCAAACTACTTCCCTCCTCTTGCCCTCTCGTTGGAAATTCTTTCCTGTGAGATTTTCTCCTCTCTGCTATCTGCTCCTTCTTCCATAGCCTACAGCTTCCTGTTGGAGTTCCTTTGATAATTTTGTTGCCTTACAGCTTTGCAATGTCCAGTGTGGTAGCCATGGGCCACATGTGGCTGTGGAGTGCTTGAAATATGGCCAGATAATATTTCTATATCTGGATTGAGATGCCTTGTAGAAGTATAAAATACACACCGGATTTCAAAAACTTAGTGCGAAAAGAAAGAATGCAAGATATCTTATTGATAATGTAATACAGTTTACATGTTGAAATGATCACTTGAATACTTGGAGTAAAATACGATGTATTATTAAATGTAACTTCACCTGTTTTTCTTTGACATTTTCTTGTGGCTGCTAGAAAATTGATAGATGGGTGTGTCGCCTTCACACTTACATACTTCTCTTGCTCAAGACCAGCCCTGCTTCCTTGCTGGCTGCTCAGTCAGATGCCTCCTCTAGTTTAAGCTGTCCATCATGGGCCCACCCATTATGTGTCCATCTCATCTTCTCTGCCCAATGTGGGCGTAGGCTGCTGGTGTTCCTGTACCTCCCCCCCAGCTTTGCTTACAATGCTTGTCTTGAGTGCAGGCTGCTGGGCTTCTCATCTTTCTTTCCATACATTTAGAACCTCTCTTCCAGAAACACAGGTTACTTGCCAGCTGGCAAGGAGCAGAGCTGGGATTCACATTCATTTATGTCATGCTCCAAACCCATGTCCGTAACAGACTACTCTCTCCAATTGCTTCGTGGATGTAAACACATAGTAAGCTCCTAGAGGGCAGGGACCATTTTTATTTCTTTCATCTCTACTGTTCAAGGCCTTTCTAAAGCTTTTTTGAAGGAATTAAGATTTCTAGTCTCTTCCCCTTCCACTTTCTGCTTTGTGAAGACACAGTATTCCTCCCCTTTCCCCTCTGGATGATACAACAACAAGGTGACATGTTGGAAGGAATCAGAGAATATCCCTCACCAAATAATCAATCCTGCTTGTGCCTTAATCGTGGACGTCTTAGCCTCCCGAACTCATGAAGGTCATCATCATATATAGGCTGATTGATCTTGGACTTCCAAGCCTCCAGAATTCAAGTCAGCGAATCTGAAAACATTTTACGGAGGGCAGGGCCAAGATGGCCAACTAGAAGCTGCAGTGTTTAGAGGTTCCTATCAGAAAAAAACCGTAATAAGCGTGTGTGAATCCTTCATCAGCAACCAAGGTATCCAGGTTCTCTCATCAAAATTGACTAGAAGGCTGGTGTGACCCTTGAGGAGATGGAAGAACAGTGTGGTGTGGCGGCCCACCTGAGAGCCACATGGGGAAGGGGAACCCCCTCACCCCATTCCAAGGGAGGTGGTAAGTGAACACGCTACCCAGCCAGGGAAACTGCTTTTCCACGGAACTGTGAAACCCACAGATTGGAAGATCCCACTTGCGAACCCATGCCACCAGGGCCTCACATCCCAACCCTGGAACACACAGATTCTTACAGCCTCTCAGCTGGTATCTGCTTAAGCTTACTGAACTCTTAGGAGGAGGGGTGACCAGCACCTCCTGCAGCTGCCCGCTATCTAAGCCCTTTAAGGTCCTGGGGATGGGCAGCAGCCAGCACTGGGACTCCCAACTGCCTAATGTGCTAAGCTCCCTGGGCGGGGGAAGGGCAGCACCCATTTCTGTAGCTCCAGGCTACGCTTTTCCCCTGCTAGAGCCAGGGAGGCTGGACAGCTTGGTCCCAAGTCTTGTCTCCACAGCCCAACACACCAGCTGTGGCAGTCTGCGGCCAGAGTGCCTCTTCAGGTCCAACTCCAACCCATCCTTCCTTAGTGGGGGGGAGGGGGCTCTGCTGCAGGATCTCCAATAGCTCTAACCAGAGGCTCAGGGGCATAATTTGGATCTCCCTGGGCCTGAGCCCCTAGGGGGAGGGGTAGCCACAGTCTCTGCAGACCAGCAGACTTAGCTTTTCCTCCTGGTAGTTCCAAGGAATCCAGGCAGCCCAGACTCTCCGCCAAGGGACAGAGTGCTTCATTAAATGGGTCCTGCTCCCCATGCCACCCAACTGTGTGAAACCCTCCAACAAGGCTTGTCAGATACCCTATACAGAAGTGATCCTACTGGCATCAGGTTGGTGCCCCTTGAGGTCAGAGGTCACAGAAGAAGGAGCAGGCACCAATCTTTGCTGCTCTCCAGCCTCCTTGAATGACACCTTCAGGCACAGGAGCAAATCAGATGAATAAGGCCTGAAGGGAACCCCCAGCAATCTGCAGCAGCCCCTACAGAAGAAGGACCTGACTATCGAAAGAAAAACAATCAGAAAGTGATAAAAGCATCAACAACAAAAATAGCAAAAATGTCCCCACAAAAACCCCATCCAAGGGTCAGCAGCCTCAAAGACCAAAACTAGACAAACTCATGAAGATGAGAAAGAATCAAGAAAAAATGCTGAAAACCCAAAAGGCCAGAGTGCCTCTTCTCCTCCAAATGATCGCAATGTTTGATTGCTCCAAATGATAATAAGCTTTGAAATTGAGGCAGTAATTAATAGCCCACCAACCAAACTAAGCTTCATAAGTGAAGGAGAAATAAAATCCTTTCCAGACAAGCAAATGCTGAGTGATTTTGATACCACCAGGCCTGTCCTGCAATATCTCCTGAAAGAAGCACTAAATACGGTAAGGAAAAACTAGTATCAGCCACTGCAAAAACACACCGAAATATAAAGACCAATGACACTATGAAAAAACTGCATCAACTAGTGTGCAAAATAACCAGCTAGCATCATGATGGCAGAATCAAATTCACACATAACAATACAAACTTTAAATGTAAATGGGCTAAATGCCCCAATTAAAAGACACAGACTGGCAAATTGGAGATGGAGTCAAGACCCATCGGTGTGCTGTATTAGGAGACCCATCTTACGTGCAAAGACACACACAGGCTTAAAATAAAGGAATGGAGGAAAATTTACCAAGCAAATGGAAAGCAAAAAAATGCAGGGGTTGCAACCCTAGTCTCTGACAAAACAGACTTTAAACCAACAAAAGTAAAAAACAAAGAAGGGCATTACATAATGGTAAAGGGAACAACTCAACAAGAAGAACTAATTATTCTAAGTATACATGCACCCAATGTAGCAGCACCCAGATTCATAAAACAAGTTCTTAGAGACCTGCAGAGACTTAAACTCCCACACAATAATAGTGGGAGACTTTAACACCCCATATCAGTATTAGACAAAACAATGAGACAGAAAATTAACAAGGATATTCAGGACTCGAACTCACCTCTGGATCAACTGGACCTAGTAGGCATCTACAGAACTCTCTACCTTAACAGAATATATATTCTTCTCAGTGCCATATGACACTTATTCTAAAATCAGCCACACAATTGGAAGTAAAACACTCCTCAGCAAATGCAAAAGAACTGAAATAATGACAAACATTCTCTCAGACCACAGTGTGGTCACATTGGAACTCAGGATTAAGACACTCACTCAAAACCACATAATTTCATGAAAATTGAACAGCCTGCCCCTGAATGACTACTGGGTGAATAATGAAATTAAGGCAGAAATCAAGTACTTCTTTGAAACCAATGAGAACAGAGAGACAACATACCAGAATCTCTAGGACACAGCTAAAGCAGTGTTAAGAGGGAAATTTATAGCACTAAATGCCCACATCAGAAAGCTAGAAAGATCTCAAATCAACATCCTAACATCATTAAAAGAGCTAGAGAGTCAAGAGCAAACGAATCCAAAAGCTAGTAGAAGATAAGAAATAACTAAGATCAGAGAATAACTGAAGGAGATAGAGACACAAAAAACACTCCAAAAAATCAATGAATCCAGGAGCTGGTTTTTTGAAACAATTAACAAAATAGAACCACTAGCTAGACAAATAAAGAAGAGAGGGAAGAATCAAATAGACACAATAAGAAATGATAAAGGGGATATCACCACTGACCCCACGGAAATACAAACTACCATTAGGGAATACTATAAACACCTCTATGCAAATAGACTAGAAAATCTAGAAGAAATGAATAAATTCTTGCATGCATACACCCCACCAAGACTAAACCAGGAAGAAGTTGAATCCCTGAATAGACCAATAACAAGCTCTGAAATTGAGGCAGTAATTAATAGCCTACCAACCAAAAAAAAGCCCAGGACCAAATGGATTCACAGCTGAATTCTACCAGAAATACAAAGAGGAGCTGGCACCATTCCTCCAGAAACGATTCCAAACATTTGAAAAGGAGGGACTCTTCCCTAACTTATGTTATAAAGCCAGCATCATCCCAATACCAAAATCGGGAAGAGACACAGCCAGTATCATACTGAATGGGCAAAAGCTGGAAGCATTCTCTTTGAAAACCGGTACAAGACAAGGATGCCCTCTCTCACCACTCCTATTCAACATAGTATTGGAAGTTCTGGCCAGGGCAATCAGGCGAGAGAAAGAAATAAAGGTGTTCAAATAGGAAGAGAGGAAGTCAAGTTGTCTCTGTCCGCAGACAACGTGATTTTATATTTAGAAAAACCCATCATCTCAGCCCAAAAACCTCTTGAACTGATAAGCAACTTCAGCAAAGTCTCAGGATACAAAATCAATATGCAAAAATAACAAGCATTCCTTTAAACCAACAATAGGCAAGCAGAGGGCCAAATCATGAGTGAACTCCTATTCACAATTGCTACAAGGAGAATAAAATACTTAGGAATACAGCTAGCAAGGGATGTGAAGGACCTCTTCAAGGAGAGCTACCAACCATTGCTCAAGGAAATAAGAGAGGACACAAACAAATGGAAAAACATGTTATCCTCATGGCTAGGAAGAATCAATATCATGAAAAGGGCCATATTGCCCAAAGTAATTTATAGATTCAATGCTATCCCCATCAAACTACCATTGATACTCTTCACAGAACGA